CCTTGACATCCAGCCCTATAAATAACTTGGCACCCAACCCTGCGGGTAACACTGGTAACGACTCCACTGGCACCGATTTTAGCGGACCCGACGCCACTGGTTCTGACGGCCGTGATTCTGACGGCCGTGATTCTGACGGCCGTGGTTCTGACGGCCGTGATTCTGACGGCCGTGGTTCTGACGGCCGTGGTTCTGACGCCACCGGTTCTGGGAGTAAGGGTAGTGGGCCGTCTCGTTACGTGTTTGGTGCGGAGTTGGTCGAGGACGTGTTGAAAGGCAACAAGGTGAATCTACCGAATTGGTATGACACGATGGCGAGTGCGGGTATGACGATTAGTAATGGGGGTCGAGTGATTGGGGGCATTGGTGCTTCGGCGGTGAATCATGTGGTGCGGTTTGCACAATCATTGTTCAACGCGGCCAAAGGTGAGAACGACTTGATTCGGAAGATTAGTGAAGAACCGGACTCAATTAGCGTACCGTTCGCTTATGTGTCTTCGGCGCCTAGTCGGTCCGCATCCAGATGTCAGATGGCGGTTGGGATTCGGGGGACGATGACGTACATGGAGTGGTCGCTGGATTTCCAGACATGGCTATATCCTGACCCGATTATACCGGGGTTGCGGTCCCATAAAGGTGTGATGAGCATAGCGTTGTCCCTCATATCCTCCGTTCGCCATGCACTGCAAGAAGCCAGTCGAGCCAGCGACTGTGTCTGCGAAGAGACCAAGATTTACGTCACCGGCCACTCCCTTGGCGCCAGTGTCGCACTCAATGTTGCCGCCTACCTCCAGAACTTCTTCCGTGACTGCGCCACTGTTCATGCCGTCCTTTTCGCACCCCTCAAACATATCGATGCACGCAGCCGACACGTCGTACAAAACGCAGTCAATCTACGCACCATAATGGACATATCCGACCCCCTCTTCCACCTACCCTGTTCAGGCATACCGTTCCCCCGCTGCAATCATGGCGCTGGCTACGACCTTTTCGACGATCACGACCAACTCGTCCTCATCAACGTCCCCTACAAGGCCACACCCAACCCCGTCACCACCGAACCCTCCGTACTACAAGTCCTACACGACACCTTCGTGCCACCCCAAGTAGGACACGCACACACGCACGCCAACACCACAACCACGACTCGAGACCATGATTCGAGCCTGACATGCGACTGCTGTAGGTTGTGGACCGACTACCAGCACCCGACAGCATCATCAGCGCTCACTCTTGCGCACACTCCTGTGCGTTATCATCCGCATGCCAAGCATTCGGATGGGGCTGCACTACGTGCCCCAACAGATGATCAATGGACATACAGATAGATCAATAGATAGATAGTTAGTTAGTTAGTTAGTTGTGAGCTTGCAGGAAGCCCATCCGATTAGGTGTGAGCTCGGGCGTGCTCTCTGTCAGAGTGTTCGAGGAAAAGAAGCTACACAAAATTGACCCGGAGTATCCTTAATGGGTGCTGAATAATTGGAGTGGCTGTAAGTATCTTGACGTACCCTTTCGGCCTAGACGCTGAATGACCGTTTGCCAATGGTTTTCGACGCAGATGAACAGGCGTCCAGAAGTTGTCGATGGTGCCGATTTCGTAAGACGAGTTGGAGCTTGAAAAGGAGACCGCTAATGGCCCCATTCCGGCTTCGCCTACAGCTTGGCTTTTATTAATGGCTTCGTCCTCATCTCCGTCCTCGGCTGCTCCACGGCGGCGGGTTGCCCACTCAGGGGCGTAGACGAGAGTGGCCCCACTGGCGAGGTGGGCGTAAAGCTTATTGAGCGGTGCAAGACGTTTGTAGTCGTCTTTGCGCAGCCCGATCTGGGCCCCCGGTTCGAAGACGAGTTTGTTGTAACTCATCGCGACCAGGCCGCCCTTCGTGAGCAACAGTTGGAAGCTGAAACGCTGGTGGTTCAGGTCGTCGAAAAGCTCCACGTTGTTCCACTGAATAATCACTTCGTCGTCGCCTTCCGCCACGGTCACGGAGGCCTGTTTCAGGTCCGTCCAGTACACCGCAATGATCTCACGCGCTGGCCGACTCGTGGTCGATTCCACCGACGATTGCTCAACCACTGACGACTGCACCCATCGGTTCCCCCGCCATTCGTCTCGGGCACCTCCAGCCGGATACATGCCGCCGTAAAGCAGCTCCTCCGACCCTTCGCTGCTATTTTCTGCTTCGTTTCTAGCTGCGCCTGCACGGACTTCGTACTGGTCGTAATTGGGCGGGTCCTGGACACTGTGCGGGTCAGCAGCGGAGTCCTGGTCGGGGGCGGCGCGTCCGGAGGCCATGACGTGCAGCTGCGGCTCCCAGGGCCGTTTCGGGACGGCGCTAGGATCGAAGACCACCCAGCCGTTGGCGTTGATGATGACGGACTCGCGCATTTGGCCGAAGAACGGGAACGCGCCCCGCTTGAACTTGTAGGTCACCGAGCCGTCGTCGTTGCCGGCGTCGAACGCGAGCGACGTGTACGTGACGCCGTCTGACTCTGTCCAGCCCGCGTCCAGACAGTTCGCAAAATCGCCCAAGTTCACCCAGCCGGGTCGGCTCTTGGTGTGCCAAACGGCCGGGCGGTAACCCGCGATCACACCGTCCGCGTAGTCCAGTGGGACGTAGTGCGCCATGAAACTCACAGGTGGATGGACACAGGTTCGGTTCCGGTTCCTGCCCTTCTCGCCGTTTTCGTCGTCCTCCTCCTCGCCGGCGACGCAGGAGCCGGCCATTGTCAGGAGGAGTGCGTGGTCGGTTGGCTGTAGTTTTTCGGGCACCGCGCGGACCTCGAAGTCCTGGCAGTGCACCATGATCTCGGAGCGGCGGAAGGCACCGCCTTCCTTTCGCTCGACGACAATCGTGTGCGAGGATGGCTGCGGCAAACAACGCAGCACCAGGGGCAGCCGGTCCAGGACCCTGACCGGCGTCTGGCCGTCCAATGGCAGCGAGGAGACCAGCGCCTCCGGCTGCGAAGACAGTAGCGTTAATTTCAACTGAAGCTCCGGCACGCGCCCCATCCCAGACCCCTTGGTCCTCGACCCCGTGTTCCCTTGGCGTGCCAAGTTCTCCAATGAGATCACCACCGGCAGCGAGGCCGACTTAGGCTCCGTCGGAATAAACAACACCGCCGGGATTTTGCTCTCGTCCAACTGCGCCCGAGGCAACACCGTCACAGACCAGTGCACAACGCGTGTCCAATGACTCGCCCGGCCGTGGTGGTGACCATGCTCCGCGGCACCCACCGCCTCGCCCACCTCGGCATCCGCCGCGTCTTCACCCACGGTTGTCTCCTCGACCGCCCCTTCTTTCTCCTCGACCGCCTGCTCAACCTCCTCGACCGCCTCCTCCCCCTCGAATGCATCCTGCTCCCCGGCGTCTTCTGCCGTGGCGTCTTCCGCCGCGGCCAAGTCGTCCTCGAGAGCACTGCCATGGTCGAGCACGCGCCTCTGGTCGCCGCCAGTGGTGGTTGAAGAAGCCAGTGCCGGGAACCGATTGGTCGTCATCTCTGGCGGCCGCGTCGGCTCCGTTGTGAGCCGTACCGGTGCCTCCGGGCCCGGGCCTGGAGGCGGCATTCGCCAGTCCGGCGTCCTTCGTCCCGGTTCTTCGATGGGCTTGAAATCGTCCGGCAGGGTGACGAGGCGACTGGGGATATCCGGGTCCGCCTCCACCGTGGACGTCTCCAGAGCCGGCTCCTCCGGGGACGTCTCCGCGGCCGTCTCCGGCGGCGTGGTTGAGTGGTGGGTGGTGGTCGATCCGTGTTCGCCAATAGTTGACCCGTGTCCACCAGTAGTGGACTTATGTTCGTGTTCGTGTTCGGTGGTCGAGCCGTGCTCGGTGGTCGAGCCGTGCTCGGTGGTCGAGCCGTGCTCGGTGGTCGAGCCGTGCTCGGTGGTGGTGTGTGGCGGTCGGGTGGTGGTAGTAGTGGTGTGATGGTGTCTGTCTGGATGAGAGGTATGTCCGACGGGGCGAGCGAGTATGGTGAAGGTGGAGTTGTAGGTGCCGATGTGCAGGCCATAGAGTGCGAATGGTATGTGCACGGTCTCTTTGGGGCGGAGGGTGAGTCGTTGCATCCAGGTGGGCCAGTTAGGTAGGGGTCTGAATAGTTTGTTACCGAGTGCGGCTTCAAGAGTGCGGTCATAATCAGCAGTGCCTCCCCAGTGGGTCTTGTCTGCAAGGTCGAGCAGTGGTTTGGTGCCGTGTTGTATGGCCTGTTTGAGGTGTGTGTAGTTGAGTTGGGGTGCAGCGGATAGTAAGAGGCTGGCAAGTCCGGCGACGGCGGGACAGGCCATGGATGTACCGGAGAGAGTGGCGTAGGCGCCGTTGCGGACCGTTGAGAGGATGTTGGAGCCAGGTGCTGCGAGGTGGACGGAGCGTCGACCATAATTGCTGAAAGGAGATAGGCCGCGTTGGTCGACGGAGGCCACGGCCAGGACGTTGTCTAATTCCAAGGCGTAGCTGGCAGGGTACGTCGGGAGTCGGTCGTTGTTCTGAAACAAGTTGCCTGCAGCGGCCACGAACAGCAAACCCGCCTCGCGACTGCGTCCCACGGCCTCCCGTAGCGCCCGGGAACCTGAACCTCCCCAGGAGTTGGAAAGAATGCGTGCGCCGTGTGCGATGGCGTAGTCGACACACTTTACTGCGTTGCTCACCGCACCGCCGCCATCTGACCCGAGGAATTTACAAGCCATGATCTGCGCACGACGGTTCACACCCACCACACCAAGCGCGTTGTCCCCCGTCGCGCCCACCACACCCGCGCAGTGTGTACCGTGCGAGTTGTCGTCCAACGGGTCACCCGCACGCGCGTCTCCCGCGCTCAATAAGGCATTAATCCCGTACACATCGTCCACGTACCCATTCCCATCATCATCCACACCCGCACGACCGCCCAATTCCGCTTCGTTCACCCACATATTATTGCGCAAGTCCGGGTGTGTGTAATCCACTCCCGTGTCCACCACACACACGATCGGCCGCGGCGCACCTTCCTCATCACCACGATGCGACGCCCAGGCGCCCGGTGCACCCGCCCAAGGCAGCCCCCACTGCAACGGCCACAAGGGGTCATTAGGCGCACGCAGCAACCGACCCGTCTCAGTCGAAGGCGGTGCCGTCGAAAATGAAGCCAACTCCGCTCCCAACAAGGCGCCCAACTCCAACCGCGGACAAACCTGCTGAACCACCGACGCACCCTTCGGCAGCGCACCCGACCCCCACGGGGGTAATCCCCCCTCGGGGTCCGGCGGTGATTCGTCGAGCGGTGCTCCATCCACAGCTACGTTCTGAAGCTTCCAGGAGCGGCCACCTGGGTCCCCGAGATAGCCGTCGGGCGGCATGGCCCAAACCGGGGAGTCGGGTTCTATGTACTCGAAGGCTCCCGACGCCAAGAGATCGTCGACCAGGGCGGCCACCGCGTCGACCGAAGCGTCCGGCGCAAGGTCGATCAGCGTCAACTCCATTACCGGCAGCGTCTGCAAGCGCGCGACCACTCGAGACGACTCCAACTCCGCCAACCGCCGTCGGGACCCTCGGGACTCAGTCTGCGGCTTCACCATCAACCGCCGCGTCCCTTCACGAATCACTTTTTGGGCTATGAAGCGCGTCACCGGCAATACCGACTCGCGCAGTTGCCGACGGTTATGGTAGCCGCTAATAGCGAATCCGTTCGGCTTGGCAGAGTGCGTTTCATTCCACCAAACAAACTTGCTCTCCATTGACTGCCCAAGCAGCGAACTGGCTCCACCGAAGGGGGAGTCCTCAGCTCCACTCACCAGCCGCCGCTCCCGACCCTCGGGGTCCAGGAAACTGGAGTGCGAAATTCCAGTGTTATTATGACCACCCCCGGAGGTTCGCGCCCCGGCAGAAGTTCGCGCGTTGTTGATATCTGTTAGCTCACGCAAAAGGACAAGATTGTCGAACCCGAACTGCCCAGCGTTACGGAACACAGTGCCTTCCAACGATCCATTAATTATAACGTAGTCCTGCAGGTCGTCAACCTTCGACCAGCGGCGGGGACTATTCCAGAACGAACCATATCCTTGAGCACTTTCGCCCTTGAGAGTCCTTTGAACCTTGGATACGGATCCATTACCAGAATACCCATTATGATGGGAATGATGAGGGTGGGCGTGTTGAGGATGATGATCCGCGCCGGGCCGCACAAGCACTTCCGGAACCTCGAAGCTCACCTGCGCGCAAAGTTACAGTAGAATCAGAGCATAGCAAGAAGTATCAATAGTAAAAATACAAGTAGAGCTCCTCGTAAGAATCGTGTGCGCACACGTGTGCAGTTACCTCAATCGTTTGGTTAACTTCGTTCATAATGGATAAGAAGGTATATTTATCATCTTGATATTCTACAACGGTGGCCAGATGGCTTGGCTCCACAACTAGAGCGTGGCCAATTTGGACCCACGCCACCTTTTTCATGTCCCAGCA